CGCCGCCGCCGAGCCCGCCTCCCTCGCCGCCTCCTCCCTCGCCGCCTCCCTCGCCACCGCCGCCCTCGCCGCCGCCGTCGCCGCCCCCGCCCTCACCGCCACCTCCGTCGCCACCGCCTCCCTCACCGCCGCCGCCGAGCCCGCCTCCCTCGCCGCCTCCTCCCTCGCCGCCGCCGCCCTCGCCGCCGCCCTCACCGCCGCCGTCGCCGCCCCCGCCCTCACCGCCACCTCCGTCGCCCCCGCCTCCCTCACCGCCGCCGCCGAGCCCGCCTCCCTCGCCGCCTCCTCCCTCGCCGCCGCCGCCCTCACCACCGCCCTCACCGCCGCCGTCGCCGCCCCCGCCCTCACCGCCACCTCCGTCGCCCCCGCCTCCCTCACCGCCGCCGCCGAGCCCGCCTCCCTCGCCGCCTCCTCCCTCGCCGCCGCCGCCCTCACCACCGCCCTCACCGCCGCCGTCGCCGCCCCCGCCCTCACCGCCACCTCCGTCGCCCCCGCCTCCCTCACCGCCGCCGCCGAGCCCGCCTCCCTCGCCGCCTCCTCCCTCGCCGCCTCCCTCGCCACCGCCGCCCTCGCCACCTCCGTCGCCACCGCCTCCCTCACCGCCGCCGCCGAGTCCGCCTCCCTCGCCGCCGCCACCCTCGCCGCCGCCGCCCTCACCGCCGCCGCCCTCACCCCCACCTCCGTCGCCACCACCCTCGCCGCCACCGCCATCGCCACCGCCGTCACCGCCACCGCCAAGCCCACCCCCGCCCTCGCCGCCGCCACCGTCGCCGCCGCCGCCCTCCCCGCCGCCGTCGCCGCCTCCCCCAAGCCCCCCACCGCCCTCACCCCCACCACCGAGCCCGCCGCCTCCGAGCCCGCCTCCGTCTCCACCACCGCCCTCGCCTCCCCCACCATCCCCGCCGCCTCCCTCGCCACCGCCGCCCTCGCCGCCTCCCCCGTCGCCGCCGCCTCCCTCGCCGCCGCCGCCCTCACCGCCGCCGCCCTCACCCCCTCCGCCCTCGCCCCCTCCGCCCTCGCCGCCGCCGCCATCGCCTCCTCCGCCGTCGCCCCCACCCCCGTCACCGCCGCCGCCCTCGCCGCCGCCGCCCACGCCGCCGCCGTCACCTCCTCCGCCGTCCCCACCGCCACCCTCGCCGCCGCCCCCGTCGCCGCCGCCGCCCTCGCCACCGCCGCCCACGCCGCCGCCGCCCTCGCCGCCTCCGTCTTCTCCGCCGCCGCCTTCGCCACCGCCGCCCTCGCCGCCGCCCTCACCTCCTCCGCCGTCCCCACCGCCACCCTCGCCTCCCTCGCCGCCTGTGGCGCCGAGTCCGCCGTCAGCGCCGCCGTCGCCTCCATATCCGCCGTACACACCGCCCTCACCGCCGCCGCCCTCGCCGCCGCCACCCTCGCCGCCGCCACCCTCGCCGCCGCCGCCCTCA